AATTCGATCATGGGAGTCACTTACCAGAAGATGGCTGCCATTGCGCAGTTCGACACTATCAGGAGAGGCGAAGACGAGGGTGGCGTACCAGGCCTTCCGGAAAGCCTTCATTTGGTCGTCCCGCTGGAGGCTGGAATATCCCTAGATTGAACAATATGTCATCCTTCGTTTCTCGCAGAGCTCGACCAATATGCGGAGAATATGAATAACCAAGACTGCGCAATCTCACATCAGCAACTCCGCTTGCTCATTGAACACTCGAATCGTTCAACTGCTTATAGTTCCCTCCAGAAACCAAGACCTTGCTCTTGTCATTGGCGAAAACCACCCTGGGTCTGATACCGACGGTACCGTTCGACAACGTAATTGATGGAGACGCCAAGTCGACCACGGCGATTCGAATGCGCTTGAGCAACAGCTTGAAGCAGTATTCAAGATCGACAAACATTTTGATGCCATGTTTCGCTTGGATGATATTGCTACGTTCATGGAGCAGCGTGCATCTTACCACGATACCCAAAATCCTCTTGTGACCATCTTCCACCGGAAGCTGGAATAGTAGGAGGCATTTCCTTGACGTTGAATCGGGGTAACTAGTTTGAAGATGCAATTCTCGCCCGGACCCATTTGACCATTGACTATGAGAAATCAACGAGTCAGTTCGCAGAGATCTCTGGTCAACGATTCTGTCCAGGGCATGTACGACGCAAGGACCTGTTGTGGTGAGCGACAACCTTCGACAATTGTAGTCTTTCGCTCTAAATGGACGCGGGATGGGTACCAGAGCGCTGCTGTTCACCCCTCACTTGCTAACTTGAGCCAGATCAAAAACATCGTGGCCATCGCACATGCTCTTGCTGAGGCGGATGCCAACCAAGTGGTCTCCAAGCACTTGAGCTAGCTGTGAAATCGAATAAAGATTTTCGAAGGAGTCCGATCAACGGGGGCTGGTTGATGGGATGTATCTCTAGCTGCAAAGCCTGGGAAGGTCGTGTAGATAATTCCGCCGCCCAAGCCTGCTGTGCAGTCGCGCTCTTGCAACATGTAGGGTTCGTGTTGCAAAATGTGTATTTAGTACTCGGTGTAAGTTAAAGCCACGACGTCTTGTGGCGGAATGCTTTGCAACGTTTCCGAACACACTGTTACAAGCTTAAGGTACTGCCGTGTTGCGGAAT